CTGGTTACTTACATGCAGAAGAATTAAACTAGAGCCCTATCTCTCACCATATACAAAAATAAACTCAAGATGGATTCAAGACTTAAGTCTAAGACCTGAAACTATGAAACTACTAGAAGAAAACATAGAGCAAACACTTGAGGCCATTGGTCTTGACAAAGATTTTATGAATATGCCTCAAAAGCACAGGCAATAAATATACAAATAGACAAATGGGATTATATCAAACTAAAAAAGTTCTGTGCAGCAAAGGAAGCAATCAGCAGGGTGAAGATACAACCTGAAGAACGAGAGACAATACCTGCAAACTATTCATCTGACGAGGAATCAATATTCAGACTATACTAGGAATTCAAACAACAGCTATATATATATACAGACATTTAAGTTGGATATATATACACACACATTTAGGTTGGAGATATATCTCCAACTTAAAAATGGGCAAATGAGCTGAATAGCCATCTCTGAAGAAAAGACATAAAAATGGCCAATAGGTATATAAAAAATCCTCAACATCACTATTATCAAAGACATGCAAATCAAAACCGCAATGAAATATTATCTCTCCCTATTTAGAATGGCTATTATTGGGCTGGGTGCGGGTGGCTCATGCCTGTAATCCCAGAATTATGGGAGGCCTAGGTGAGAGGATCGCTTGAGCTGAGGATTTTCAGACAAGCCTGGGCAATATAGGGAGACCCCATCTCTAAAAAAAAAAAAAAAAATTAGGCAGGTATGGTGATGTGCGTGTGTTCCCAGCTACTTGGGAGGCTGAGGTGGGAGGATGACTTGAGCCTGGGGGTTGGAGGTTGCAGTGAGCTGAGATCGCACCACTGCACTCCAGCCTGGGCGACAGAGCAAGACCCTGTCAAAAAAAAATTATAAGGAAGAGAAAATATATTTACTATTCATGAAGTGGAAGTGGATCATCATAAAAGCCTTCACCCTCATTGTCTTTATGCTGAGTAGGCTGAGGAGGAGGAGGAAAACAAGGAGTGGGTCTTGCTGTCTCAGGGGGTGCAGAGGTGGAAGAAAACCCACATATAAGTAGACCTGGGCGGTTCAAATTCATGCTGTTTAAGGGCCAACTGTATGTACATAATCCAGAAGGCTCATTTTGAAAGCCTACCAAGCTCTCTAACCACCTAACGACATCAATAAAGGATGACTTTTAATGAGTGACACTGAGAGATTGTCACATTGCATACCCACAGTCTGGACAAATATAGCTACAAGATGAATGCAGAATGTCACAGCGACCCCTGGTATACCCAGTAAGTCATTAGCCAGTTTTGAAAATGAATCAGGTGAAGCCCCTGCACAACGGCATGCTGGAGGAGAACCCATGGAGCCCTAAAGGACTCACATGTCCACAGTCCCCTTCTCAGGAAAGCTAATTGTAGAGATTCTTTTTGCAAACAAACTGCCATTGTTCATGCTGTATGCATGGATGAAGGCAACACCACACTGGCCTCAATGATGAGAACAGGAACCCATTAGTCACGGCAAGGTCCCATGACCAAGGCAAAAATGACCAACTTTAAGTTGTATCGGAGGGAGGCCATCTGCTTCTGAAGTCACTTGGCATAAAACTCTATGCTGAGTAGGAGAGCTTCTGAATAGTTAGTTACAAAGAGACTCTCTTAGTTAGACTCTCTCTCTCTCTTAGGAAGAGAAAATATTAGGCAGATAGAGGGTGGGTTGCTCCAGCTCAACTGAGTAGCTGGGCCAGGTGTCCAGGAAGCTACTGGATATCCCTGCCTCAAAAACCTTGGGAGACTCAGAATGTATGCCTACTCTTTGCACAGCTTACTCCTTGCATTAAATATTTCCCTCAAAAGTGTTATTTCTGAAACTTAATACACAGTCTACTTTTGAAATTTTATACTTGTAGTTATTCTTTGCAGAACTCTTGGATATAATTAAGGAACTTTTTGATGCTTGCTATGGTCTGAATGCTTAAGTTCCTCCAAAAGTCATGTTGACTCCTAATTCCCATTGTAGCAGTATTAAGAGGCGGGGCATTTGGGAGGTGACTAGGTCATGAAGGCTTCACCACGATGAATGGGATGAGGGCCCTTATAAAAGAGGCTTGAGGAAGTTTGTCCCTTCCACCATATGAGGATGAAACAAGATGTTATATACAAAACGCAGCAAGCCCTCACCAGACACCAAATCTGCAGATGCCTTGATCTTGGACTTCCCAGCCTCCAGAACTGTGAGCAATACACTTCTGTTGTTTACAAATTAGCTAGTCTAAGGTATTTTGTTAGAGCAGCAGGAGGCAGCATTAGAATCTACCATGTACTTAAGTCTTAAGTTTTGTTTTTACTTATTCATCTCTACTAGGAACATTGTGCAGGAAATAATGAAGAGTAGGATCCTTTCCCCAACCAGGAGACGTTTTTCTTCTTCATTTTAATATTTCTCTTCCTAAGGACTTTGCTTTTTAATGACAGAACTAATCTCATTTGTAGTTTATGTGCCTAGCTTAAATTTACTCATTAAACACTAAAGTTGGAGTTGTTCTATAGCTTTTCATGAGCTGACCTTGGGCACAATTGCCCTCTTTCAAAGGCACCATGATTTTTTCATCGAACTTAATTTTCAAGAACACTTGACATGTGGAAGAGTTTAAAGCTGAGATATGAAGTGATTTCTCTAGACCTTGTTATTTAAAAATGTTTAGGCTGGGTGCGGTGGCTCACACCTATAATCCCAGCACTTCAGGAGGCTGAGGCAGGTGGATCACCTGATGTCAGGAGTTTGAGACCAGCCTGGTCAACCTGGCAAAACCCTGTCTCTACTAACAATACAAAACTTAGCTGGGCGTGGTGGCACGCACTTGTAGTCCCAGCTACTCAGGAGGCTGAGGCAGGAGAATCACTTGAACCTGGGATGTGGCAATTGCAGTGAGCCAAGATCGCGCCATTACACTCCAGCCTGGGTGACAGACTCTGTCTCAAAAAATAAAAAAAATAAAAAATAAAAATCTTTAAATATTTATGGTTAACACTCACATGCAATAAAATCTTAAGATATGCCTTATAAAGCAAAGCCACCAATTACTGAGTGCTATGTGCCAAGCATGACATGAAATGCTTTGCTTGTCCTCTCTCATTTATTTCACACAGCAATCTTTTGAGATAGTATTATTTTATATAGATCTTGAAGTAGAAGGAGACAAATCTGGGTACAGGAAGTACCAAGGTGCTTTTCTTAGTAGTGGGCAACATCAAGTTATTGGAGGTGGAAAGCCCTGTTTTTGAGCCCTGGTTCTGGTACTTACCATATGTTCTGGTCATGTCCCTTACCTTCAACAAGGTGAGAACCTGGGCTTCAACTTCTTTCTCTGTTATTTTTATTTGAGGTGGGTCCTCGCTCCAACAGAACAAGTTCCCTACCTATCATTTCACTATTATAGTTTCGACCCAGTGTGCACATCCAACCTTTTATTTTGTTTTTTTGTTTTTTTGGGGGGAGGCAGAGTTTCTTGTTGCTCAGGCTGGAGTGCAGTGGTGCAATCTCAGGTCACTGCAACCTCTGCCTCCTGGGTTCAAGCAATTCTCCTGCCTCAGCTTCCTGAGTAGCTGGGATTACAGGTGCCTGCCACCACGCCCGGCTAATTTTTGTATTTTTAGCAGAGATGGGGTTTCACCACGTTGGCCAGGCTGGTCTTGAACTCCTGACCTCAGGTGATCCCCCTGCCTTGGCCTCCCAAAGTGCTGGGATTACAAGCATGAGCCACCATGCCTGGCCCAAAGTATATATTTTTGAAAAGCAAAAACCATGAGGCAAGTTCTTAGGTTACATCCTTATCAGTTAATACGTCAATTATCAGTTAATGCTTTACTAAGGCATACTTGATAATCAGCTGAGAACACGAACAGAATATGGATTGGGCTACTAGGGATGAAAAGATCCTAGGGGCTGCTGGAGGACCAGTGAAGTTCAGATGGGAATGTGCTCAATGGAAAGACTTCTGTTAAGTACATTTGTCTAGACTCTGCCTGGCTCAGGATATGTCTTTGAAGCTGGTGTGAAGGCAAGGAAAAATGTTCAGTGTGTAACACATAGTCCCATCTGGCTGAAACATGAGTGAAGAAGTGATGAAGGAGAAAAACCAAGAAAGGAAACCATGGGGGAGGGCACAGGGAAAGTCATAGTGACGAGTTTGGACTTCATTCCATAGGCGGTGAGGAACCTTCCAGGGCTTTTTAAGCAGGGGGCCAGCAACATTAGATGTAGGCTGCTTACAGGATGGGGTAAATGGTGGAGACAGGGTGTGGAGGACAAGGGCCCAGGGTGTGGCCAGGAGGCCCTCAAAATAATCCATGGAGCCCAAAACTAGGTCATGGAACCCAAAACTAGAGTGGTAGTGATAAGAATAGAAAAAAGAATGTAACGCTGCCAAGGACTTGGCACCAACTGAATGGGGGGAAGGGGAGGTGTTGAGAAGATGGTCAAACCACAGACACCTAGAGATTCCGGGCACTTATGAAAGTTCCAAGAATTTCTATTCTTCCTTTACCTTACTCTCCACCCAATCAAAAATACCTAACTTGGCAACAGTTGACAAGTTGAGAGCCTAAATATGCAAAGTAAATAGGAGAGTCATCTTTGCCCATGAGAACCACAGACAGAAATCAACCTGGCAAGGCCGGGCACGGTGGCTCACGCCTGTAATCCCAGCACTTTCAGAGGCCCAGGCAGGTGGATCACTTGAGATCAGGAGTTCGAGACCAGCCTGGCCAACATGGAGAAACCCCGTCTCTACTAAAAAAAATACAAAAACCAGCCGGGCGTGGTGGCGCATGCCTGTAATCCCAGCTACTTGGAAGGCTGAAGCACGAAAATCACTTCAGTCTGGGAAGCAGAGGCTGCAGTGAGCGGAGATCGCGCCACTGCACTGTCCAGCCTGGGCGACAGAGCGAGACTCTGTCTCAAAAAAAAGAAAGAAAAAGAAAAAAGAAAAAGAAAGAAAGGAAGAAATCAGCCTGGCAGAGAAAAGGTGCGGGTAGTAGCGGTTCTGGTGCCCTTCCTCCAAACCTGTGAGGCCCGGTCTAGGCCTCTAAGCACCTCTCTCCTTGGAAAGGGGGTGAAGACGACTGATTACGAAGACGCCTGGGCTCTGGTCTCAGTTCTGCCACTGACTGGGTGCCTCCCTTCATCGCTTTTTTCTTCTTTTTCATGTTGGACCATAGCATTCCAGATGTCCTCTGCAGAGGTCGAACTGCAGGACTGCAGTATCTTTCCCTCTTTGCATGTACCGCTTTTCATATTCCCTGATTCCATTAAAAATATTATCCTCTGTCGTGTTCTAATCTCACTTTTTATGAAGCATAGCACCCTTTCAGGAAAGGGAGCGGAGGCCTGGATATCTGGGTCTGGGCTTGGGCATCCAGACAAAGCCAACCGCCTCCTCCTTGGGCATCTCTTCTCTGCCCACCAGCGCGGCTCTGCCTACCCCACCGCAGCCAGCCTCGTTGCCACGGCAACCGGCGGGCGCCCACGCCTGCCTTGGGACCCAGGGGCCACAGCCCCGCCCCGCCCCGCCCCGCCCCGCGCTCTCGGCGGCGGCACCTGGTCGCGCGGGGGCGGGGGGTGGGGGCGGGGAGGCGCGGTCGCTAGGGAAACCAGAGGACGCCCGGTAGCCGCCCCCACCGCCCCCGCCCCAGGCAAGGCTGGTCGGCGCCGCGGAAAGCAGCCTCGGGGAAGCAGGAGGAAGAGGGGCAGGTTTAGGGAGTGAAGAAGCAAGAGGAGGGGGAGGAAGAGGCGCTTAGGCCAGTCCCCGCGCAATTAATGGGCAGCTCCTGCGCCCTGGACCGGCCCGCCCACCCTGCCCCTCGACCCCTTTAGCCCCGGCAGGGGAGGAAGGGCATACCCCCAGGTAACGGCCCACTCGCCCCCGCCGCTCCTCTCCGTCCTGCCAGGATGGGGGACAACCTTCCCTTTCGTCTTCCCAGATTCTGGAGGGAAACTGGGCCTGACATCCGGTGGCCTGGCCGTCCCCTCCCCCCGGCTGACCCCAGCCCCAGCTTTTTTCTGTCTCAAAGGGGCAGGTTTGGGGGAGACCGTGACCCTTTGTTCACTGGCAGCCGCCCGCACCCACCTTTCTTCCTGCAGACGCCACTGGTCAGAAAAGGTATACGCAGACCATGGCCCCTTAGGCTTCTGAGTGCGCAATGGTTGATACTGGTTTTGTTTGTTTTTGAGGATTCTAGCTGTGTCTCCCAGGCTGGAGTGCAGCGGCGCAGCCACGGCTCACTACAGCCTCGACCTCCCAGGCTCAAGCGATCCTCCCGCCTCAGCCTCCCGGTGGTACCTGGGACCACAGGTCACCACCATGTCTGGCTAATGTTTTAAATTATTTGTAAAGAAGGGGTCTTGTTCTGTTTCCCTGGCTGGATATTGTTATTAATGATGGCACTGAATTGCTTGTCAAACCTGTGACGTTTCCTCCCCCAAAGTTTCCCGATTACTCGTTGAGTTTCTCCTCTCTTCTGGGCTTGATGGTCGAAATGTGACTGCCTGTCTCTCCTAGTTTCACAGTAAAATGAGGAATCACCGCCAAAAACAAGTCTGTTCCCTCGCCTCCGCCCCGCCCCAACTCTTAAGCCAAACTGGCTGGAAAAGTTGAAAGATCTCCTTACCTTTCCCAACCAATTCCCCCTTTTTCTCTGCAGTCACAGTCTTCGTAAATTGGGCCCAAACCGTAAACTTTGTTGCTTATGCTCAAGACATGTTTATAAGCTAAGACTTCAAAATGCTAAGTTTTAAAAGCTAAGATTTAAATCCTATAATGTTGGACATTACAAATTAATCAGTTGGGAGAAAGGTTGAATAAGGTCTCCTGAAATCCTTCTCCAATCACCTAATTGTGGAAAGGGAGTAATTTTTGAGCCTGGTTGTCAGGTATTAACAATAGCCATTTAGATTTTGTTTCAAAGCAACCTTCCGTCTAAGAAGGAGGTTAAATTATTTACATTTTCCTTTATTGCTTAACAATATTAACTGTAGTGATGTCTTTCTTTTATGAGAACATAGTAAGAAACCAATAAGATTTTGATTGTTATGAAGAAGAGGCTCCTTCAAATCGGTTCTTTTGACAAATGTGGTCATAAAACAGAAGGATGGTATGTATGCATGACTTTTTAGAGCACTGGAAAACATTCTGCATTCAGATTCTGTTCCCTTCAGTCAGGAAAACTTGGTTGGAATTCATTGGAAAGTTACACCAGAGAGGAATGTGTATGTCACAAAGTTCTTAGAATATTCCCCATTAAAATTTCACAGATATGTAGAATTTTGAGGCCAAGAAGAATTACTCGCCTTTGCTTTCAGCAAGGCAGGACCCCCTCTTTCCTTCTCCACCTGCCTCCAACTCCCTCCTCCTTTCTCTCTCCCTACTTAATATGGTTTCTTATGTTGATTTCTAAAGCACAGATTTGGCACAAGACATTATCACCAGAAAGACTTAAAACAGAAGCGTGCATAACCATGAGTGGATTTTAAATTAAGAAGCAGTTCAAAGGTGAGCGATAGAAGAGAATACAGAGGGCTATTTTAGAAACATGCGCCTTGTTCACATTTTATTATCACCCCCACCCCAACCCTCTGTGTTTGCTGGGAAAAAATTCTTGGCTTCAAGTGGCCATCTGGTTGAGTAGGCCTACAAAGCTGAGATCCGTGAATTAAGCATTATCTCATGTAGTTTTATTTCCATACTGTTATTTCTGTTTCTTGTTCATCCTGGTCAGTTTTTCAGACTGACTGAGTGCGGTATGAAGTTCAAGCGAACACGGAGAATGTTTGCTTAAACCAACGTAACCCACCATCTTCTTGGTCTTAACACTAATACCCTGTTTTCTTTGTTCCTGTAATATTCGTTTAATCTCATAAAGACTTGATATATTTAAATAAAAAATTACATGTGGCACCACGATGTTTCTAAATATTGTAAAATACAATGTAATAGAGAGTTTTGGGGAAGGAAAAGAGACTTTTGTAGGCAACTTTATTTTTATTACTTTATTATTATTATTATTATTATTATTTATTTTTGGAGGGATGGAGTGTCCCTCTGTCGCCCAGGCTGGAGTGCAGTGGTGCCATCTTGGCTCACTGCAACCTCCGCCTTCCAGGTTCAAGTGATTCTCCTGTCTCAACCTCCCAAGTAGCTGGGACTGCAGGAGCACACCACCATGCCCAGCTAATTTTTGTTTTTTTAGTAGAGGTGGGGTTTTGCCATGTTGGCCAGGCCGATCTCGAACTCCTGACCTCAAGTGATCCACCCACCTCGGCCTCCGTAAGTGCTGGGATTACAAGCATTTTTTAAGTCCTTTATTTGGTAGGTGATTGTGAAGTCAGAGGTAACTTAGCAAATAATTCAAAGGGTGCTACTTCCTACCTATTTAGACAAAGTTATTTCATGCCTCTTGACTTAGAAGCCTCCTTAAATTAACCCTACTCTAAAGCCGTGATAGATTAACTGGCTTTCTATATTAACTTTGGCAACGAAAATGTATCATCCGAGTGGACTCTGGGATGCTCCCCTTTAGTGACCATTAACATATTTTTATTATGAGTCCTTATGGTCTCTGCCTGATTAAGATTCTGACAGGCTTCTCTTTCCCACAGTAGCAGCAGGAGCTTATCCTTCTGCCTGTTTTAACACCATTGTTTTCTGAAAAGAGTGGAAAGGTAACTTCATTCTATGCAGGTACACATTCAGATGAAAAGCTAAAAGTGATCTTTTAAAACATAATCCCATGCGATTATTAAAATGCTCAGAGACAAAATGTAGGTTCTGTGCGTAGACTGGAAATACACATTGTAGTTTCAGATTCTGACTGTCAAAGACCAACTTTCCATACTCCAGAGAAAACAGCCCCCAAGAGACCAGCACAAGTTTTCCCCATTGTTCAGGGCCAGACGATAAACCATGTGAGATTTCATAACTACCAGACCAGACGCTGGGTCACCATGAGTCAGGGGCAGCCTGACTCTGCCAATGTCTACACAACTGAATAAACAGGAGGAGGGAGGGAAAGCCACAGAACATATACACCTGAAGGTAGAGATGTTGCCTGTCCCATCCTGATGTTTCCCCAGAGCCTAGCAGCCCTTGTCACACAGCAGTTGTAAAAAATATGTATATGTGTGTGTAGATATAAATGAAAGAGCTTCAGTAGACAACAAGCAGGAATAGTGTAGGGACTTTGATGACCCCATAGATAAGAGGTCTTTATTAACAGTGCCATTTTATCCCTTTGTGAGCTTCGCTATCTTGGCCATAAATTTGGGCCATGCCAGTCAAAGCTAAACTTCTTGAAAGCACGATCTCCACGCCTTTACCTCCCATTTACACAACCTTCTGCAGCCCTCCCAGCCCCGTCACTCCACTGAATGCTCTCACCAAGGTTATTAATAGCCTCCTTTTTGAAACCTCCTCAGCATCTCTGAAATGGCACCCACCTGGTTTCTTCCTGCCTCTCTGGCTTTTTTTTTTTTTTTTTTTTTTAAAAAAAAAAAAAAAAAAAAAAAAAAAAAAAAAAAAAAAAAAAAAAAAAAAAACTTCCTGCCTCTCTGGCTTTTTTTTTTTTTTTTTTTTGCAGAGTTTCTCTTCAGCGGCTTGTTCTCTAAATATTAGTGTTCTTCACGGTTTTGTCCTGTGTCCTCTTTCTCTTTTCATTCCCATTCTTCCTTCAACTTCACTTATCACAGAATCCCAGCAATGCCCAAATCTGTACCTCTCTGGTCAGCTCTAGAGCCCTGTGTCTGACAGCGCACTTGACATCTCCATTTGCCGCACCCGAGACACTTGTCACGCCATGCTGTTTCCTCACAAAGCAGCTCCTCCTGTGTTTTCTGAAGGGAATGCTGGCACCAACCAACTGGCTGCTCAAGCCGGTAACCTGGGCATCCCTGAGACTTCCACCCCTGGTCCATTCATATAATCGCAAGCCCTGATGACTTTCTCTCCTGAGCGTCCCTTGAATCCCTTAGGTAAGAGTGTGGGCACTGGAGCACGACTCTGGGTTCACATCCCAACTCTCCCACTCACTAGCTCAGTTTCCTCACCTGCAAAATAGAGCCTGCTAATTTTGTATTTTCGGTAGAGACAGGGTTCCACTGGTTAGCCAGGATGGTCTCGACTCCTGACCTCCATGATCCACCCGCCTCGGTCCTCACCAAAAGTGCTGGATTACGGCGGAGCCAACCGGCGCCCTGGCATCCCTGTTTTTTTTTTTTTTTTTTCAACAATGAGGAAATAAGAGAGGTGAAGTGGCTTTTGCTATCCCATACCTAATCGTA